CATATTACATCACTCAAATCTGATGTTTACCTTCTTCTCTTTTTCAGGAATCATCCCAGAAGATCTGCAGCCAATGTTAACTATGAAGATAGAATCTAATTTTTTTCTCTTTTTCTTACAATCTAGAAACTGTTAAATTTCAGAAACATTACAGTTCAGATTTTGCTGCCAACAAAAATCATATGGTTAAAAACATACGACTCTAGTTGCCACATTCCTCTTGTAGATAGTTCTCTGTATTTGCTGGCAAGACAAGGCTGAGTCTGAGGTAAAGCTGTATGCACAAACACGACAAATTAACCGTAGATGAAGAGTCCCCTTCTCTAATAGCAGAAATGCCTCATCTTCGTCACTTTTTTCATGATGCATAGAAAGGAATTGTGATTCTTTTGAAATAAAAGCAGTCTTCCACAAGGACATTAAAAACTGTAGCAGGAGAAGGATTAAAAACAGATCTGATTAATTTTTGGTTAATGATTTAGAACTAATAAAACCTAGTATCCCTAAGGCCAGATTGTACACATTGAGTGCATTGTTACTACTCTAATAAGAATTCTTCACCTATATGACTGATGTTCAAATCCTGTAATTAAAAGATGCTACTTTAAAAATTTCCAAAAAAAATCTAATCTTGTCCACCTCTATGATGTAAAGAAAAACTTTGCTAACTTATTGAGTTCTTTCATAGGCTTGATGATCTCTTTAGAGTTCATTTCAATAAAAGAAGCATTTAGGCTGAACTTTCAGCATTAGCAAGGCAGACACTGAAATACAGCTATTTTATTTAAAGCAATCTTCATCAAAGCTATAGTCAACCACCCTGTGCATCCTATAACAGGACAATTGCAACTCGTCCATTTTATCACAGCAACATAGCTTTGACCTACTAGTTCTGCATGTCTGCTCCTAACTCTTGGTGGATGGAAGGCTCTGCAGGAAGGTTCTGCATCCTTAGCTTTGCATCATACAATTAATGCACTAGCTCACCACATAGTGCTGGAAGTAAAAGGAAAAGAGTCCTTCTCAAACCTTGCAACAGATACTTGTATTTGGGGTCAGAAGAATGGATTGTGATTATTTTATCTTGTGTAGGTACAAAAGCTTGCAAAGATCTGTAAAAATTATCTATCTCACAGTCAATAATTACGCATCTTCCCATATCTTCTCACACTTGCCCCCTCATTTTACTTCTACCAATTTCTACTTCCGTTCTTTAAATTTTTGCTAACTTCATTATACTCCTAATAGAGACAGGAAAATTTGTCAAACCGCACCAAGTCCCTAATTCCAAAAAGCCATTAAGGAGGTGGAAGTGTCACCTATATGAGCAGTTCCACTGAGAAGCAGCACACAGTCCTCCACCTGAAGCTGAGCTCAGCCTGCAGACCAGGATCTGAGAGATGTTCTGGGTGTGTGCTGACAACCATGGACGGCACCTTCAGTGGGCAGACAAAACTCTGCTGAGCTGCATGGCATGGTGGAGATACTGTTAAGTCTCCCTCTCTCCTCTACATCCTGTTCTGAAAACAGTGACAGTACTCATATTTCTATCCATCCATCATGCTCTGGTAGACCTACCTAATGAATACGGAGGGCAGAGGACACATTTGCTACCTGATTTATAGGCCACCTGGCCTATAGTCTAGTACTACTGCCTAGTGAAATCTCATTTGAGAAACACTGATAGGTGATCGAGTTGAGGTACCCAGTTCAGCTTCACTTGCCTGTCTGTAAAGCATCTCTGCATCAACCCATGCCAACAACTCTGTATTGAATTGTATTTTCATTAAAGTTTCACACATTTAGGTGCTTTGCAAGATCAAAAAGTAAATTGTTTAATATGACAGTACATAATTTTTCACTATTTGCCTTCTTTGTTCACAGGTTTCTTTTTTTTTTTTTTTTCCCCTAAGACATTAATCAGACTTCTTTTCTGGTTTACTCTTAAACAATTGTCAAGGCTTTTTTCTTTTTGGTATAATCTGAATATGTGTAAAGGTTTTCCAGTTTTCCAGCAGTATGTATTTGCAGAATGTAAGAGATGTCACTTGAACAGGTGCCTCAAGACAGCAATAGCTGCAGTTTCATTAGCTAGCACAACTTGGTGCCATCAGCAGACTGCATAAAGTCTACTGCTCAGGCTGGAGCACAATGCAGGGTTCAGCCTTAGCAGCCCAGTTTCCATGCCACAGAAGGCAGTTTCTGGGGCATAACTGGGAGGACAGCCAGGGCACCTGGGGTCTCCCTTCACTGGGGTCAAGACACCAAAGGTGCCCTCCATGGGCCACCAGTTTTGCAAAGCCAATATTAACTCTTCAGTGATCTGTGTAGCTGCTCTTGTACTCATAAGTATTTATATTTATTCTCCCTTTTTAACAGGGACCTTATCCAAAAACAAAAACTCAGTGGTATTTGATATTGATCACACTAATCCAACAATGTATTTGCTACTTCAGATGTTAAGAAATTACATTTTCCCTCTTAAAATCACATACACAGTTTTATTTTACTTCTTATACTCATTCAACAATTATCCTGGTGTATCTTTTAATTAGACCGTCAACCACTCCTACTGAAATAAAAATCACTAAAGTCTGTTCTTCTAGGATCTTTTCCACAACAAACATTAATTAGTTACTGTACAAGTTTCAGAAGACTAGTTTTCAAAGGGTTAGACTCAAGACCTGTCAGCTTTTTGGTATTGCAAAATATTGGAAGATAGTTCATTATTATGTTCACTGTTTCATACTTCATATCTTTCAGATTCTTTATTTAAATAAAATGAAAGAGTAGTTTCAACATCTGACCTTCTCCCATTGCTCCATATTTTTTTTCTCAAAGATGACATTTGCCAAAGCCATATCACAGATATGTAACATGTAATTAGGAGTCAGGCTTTCAGTATTGTTTTACCTATCACCACACACGAGCTACCTAGCTCATTTTTTGGTTAAGAATATTTCTGTCTCTGTAGGTATTCATCCCAAACTCATTACCATGAGATTCTGATTGGAGCCCTCGTGCTTCCAAACCAGCTGCAGAATTTTTAATCATAAAAACCAGAGACATAAAGGTGAGTATCATCCATATATTTTACAAGTCTAATTTTCTACAGAATCTTGTTTCAGTTGTGAAAAATAAATGACATGTGTGCAAATGGTAAATACTAATCAGTACTTTAGTTTTTCACCAGAGCAATGGAAACAACTGCCAAAAATAATTTTACATCTGAATCTAAATGGTGCTGTCATGAGCAAAATGACAAATACATCTTACAATTTCAGCTTCAGTGTGGTTTATTCACAGGCGTATAGAATAACATTTGCAATAATCTGGAGTCTGTTTTTCTGATTTTATTTTTACCTTGTTTTCACCATAGTAAAATCATAAGCCTACTCACAGCTATTCAAAATAACAGTCCAGATGCTGCTAACATTTGCACTAGCACAAACACAACAGCAATGTGAAACCCATAGATGATTAGTATCAATATTACTACTCTCATTGCACTTCTGCAGGGCTTTGAAGGTCCTATATTTCTGTTACTTTAAGTGTTTTTCATAATGAAATGCCAAAAAGCCCTGAACAATTAGAGTGAATAAAATTACCCGATACCTGCATTTTCAAGTATTTGCCTCGTATTTCTAAACAGTGCCTGAGAAGAAAGCAAGCTATCTAACAGGGTTCTGTCCCCATTCAGCACATCCCTGTGGCAATATGTATAATTTGTCCTCCTTTTTTCCTAATGAAGTTATGACCATGTTTTTATTCTCGCTGGCATCCAAATCCAGCTCAGAAAGAGGAGCAAAGGCAAATACCCCAGAAGATGAAGCCTTCTGAGTCATTCCTCTGCTTTCAGCCTGTACCTTTCAACTACATAGCAAACTGTGTATTTAAGGAGATATGCATTTACCACCACTGGCAAAATGTACTGGAAATCTCTCTTAACAAAAGCCAATGATCTGAAATGTGTCAGATTTTTTTTTTTTTTTAAAGCATGTGGAAAAAATTCTTAAACACTACAAAAATACATTGATCTATTTTATTCTTTGGACATAAAATACACTCTTATAAATGAAAATTTTACCAAAACACCTGTTCAAAAGAGGTAACTATTTGACACCATTTGCTTTCAGCCATAATCCCAATATACCTATTTTAACAGAAACAGATATTGGACTTTATTACTCATAATCAGTGGCAAACATTCAGGTCTTTCTGCCCTTCTCATTCACAGGGACATTTACACAAGAGCTGATACAAATAAAAGTGGCAGAGTCCAGAGCTTTTTAATTTCTAATTTACTGTAGATATATGTAAATTTGCCAGACATAATATATTGCCTTACTCCCTGCCTAACTTTGACCAAATGGTGCAACACAGAAAAATTAAAACAACACATGATGTACAGTTAATAAATATATACTGAATATGCATGGACTAACAATTGCTGCATTGTATCAATGGTAACAAAACTCTTACAGTGAAAATTGCACTACATAAATTCACTTAAAGCAAAGCAATGCTATGGATAGTATGTTACTAGACTTATAAGAAATAAGTAGAAAACTATGCTCAAGCAAAATGCTTTAGGAGATTAGCCACCATCACATTTCTTTGTGAGTAACTTAATTGTAAGAAACAAAAGTCATAACTGGAGATTCACTATTAGTACTGGTCCAAATGCACATGTTCAAAGAAAATCAAGATTATATGATACCTTAACATTTGATGAAAGACTTTACTGATATTTGGAAGCTGTGAATTATGTCAGGGTGGAATTTGTTTTTCTGTATTTCATTACACAGCTGCTAAATTTTACCTAAAGAAGAAAACCCTCCATTCCATTACCAGGAATGGAACACCATGGGCATAGTGTGAGTAAGTATATACACATCACAAGCCAGCAAATAAATATTTCTTTATGACTACCACAAGTTTTGGGGTTAATTGCAGAAAACTTAATCTCACATCCAATGAATAAACTCAGAAACACTCACCATGATTCCAGTGAGTAAACAGACTCCTTTCCCACAGTATGTATTAGGTACCATGTCACCATACCCAATGGATAGAAAAGTTATTGAAATCAACCACATTGCTCCAAGGAAGTTGCTAGTGACATCCTGTTGATCATGGTACCTGAAAAGAAAAATAAAACCATTTCTTTATCATCTTAACTTTTTTTAAAATTTTGTGCTGTCAGAAAGAAATTGCATTCACAGGTCATACAACTATTCTTGCATTCTACAGTTCTTTCCTTTTTAAATGCAGCAGTAAGGCATTAAATAAAACCCAAATACAATTACATCAGCATAAAGAAACAGAAGGTACAACAATAGCACCAAGTAACAGAGGTACTCAGGATGGTTTATAATTCAGTATTGTGTCATTATCATTATAATAGCAGAAAACTCCTGTTTTTCAATAGAATCTCTTCATCAGGGTTACAAATCCTGCTAATCCTCTGCAGCAGCATAAGACACCAGTCTACTATAGTTGCTGCAGTCTGAGGCAAATATAAAAGCCAGAAAAGGATGTGTGGGTAGCAGACAGCAGAGCACATCTCAATCTCCTTGGCCTGAATGAAAGTCTGTGATTGGAAATCTAATCATGAACTATCATGTAAATGCTGACTTTGACAAACAAAGTTCTTCCCTCTCCTTCAGTATGTTCAAGACAAATATAAAAGTATCATAGAACCACAGAATGATTTGGGTTGGAAAGGACCTTAAAGATCACTGAGTTCCAACACCTCCTGCCACGGACACGGATACCTTCCAGTAGACCGGGTTATGCCATTGTATTTTTTGTCATCAAAAGATCTTTACCTTAAATATAGCAAAACCTCCCTTTTGAGTAGTCAGCTATTAAGTGCCACTTCTCATCTCAGTTTTAATATTCTAGTGGAATATGTTAATTTTCTCCTTCAGAGAAAACAAGTTCAGAAGAATAATCTAATCTTCACATGACATATACACCTAATCAACTAAGGACACATCTTAGGGCCAAAACCTGTGGTCACCACTCACTCTGTAAGGGAAAAATGCCTTGTAGCCTAAATTTTGGTCCCTGGAGAGAGCAGCTCTGCAACAGAGCAGCCACAGCAGACTCAAGGTTGCAGTAACCCCTGCAGCTGCTGTGAAGCCTCTGGTTAGCTATCTGTGCTGTTGGATCCTCAAGGGTATTATTTTAGCCAGTCCTAAACCCATGTCTCACAGTGGGTCACAGAGAGCCATTAGGGATTTTGTTCACAAATCTGTAAGCAACCTGCCTTCCACAACTGAAATAACTGCTTCAGTTTTCTTCCTTTCTGGACTGCAGTCTCCACGAGGAACGAAGAATGCAGAGTGAGCACAAAGGCACTCTCAGAAAATGCCCTATTCTCTCACTTGCAAGGTATTCACTATAAATATCTGCAAAATGCCTTATTCAAAGTCCCACCTATGCCCTGATGGTTACAACCACCTAAAAACTCTTTGACAGCAAGAGACTACAGCCCTCACTCCAAACAAGTCTGTTGCACATTTCACCTGTACAATTCTGTCTCCTGGTGTCAGTGTTGCCTTTCTCACATACTTTACAGAAGCTTTAGGAGGTTTTTTGTTCTGCACCTAAAACAATGCAGTAAAAGCCCACATTTGGAGATCCTAAGAATGACAGCAACACAAATAGTGATAACCACAACAGCAAGAAGAGTAGTAAAACAAATCAAAACAAAACAAAACAGCAAACTTGATTTAACTCATGACCACCGAGCTCTGCACAAGAAAAAGAGATCTGACATAGCTTTTTCTCCAGTCTGTAATAAATGCTATGGATCTTAATCTCCACCTAACAAATTTAGCAAATAACGGCTGTGAAATATACGGATGCAGGGAGAGACATATTCATCCCATCCAGGAGGCAAGAAGAAAGCCTATGTGTCATGCAAGTCCCTACAGAGTATCATGTAAGTGACATGACCCATAGGCTTTGGATGAGCTTCACAGAAGGGCGCTGAAGCCACAACACATATTCTAAGGCTAGCAGCTCACTTAAATACCAATAAACGCTTACCTAAAAATTTATAATACATTTCTTCAGTGACCCTTTTTGGGTTTTGGACCTGGCCATTGCCATACTCCAGATGGAAAACAGCTTTCCTATGAAGATGAAAATGCAACGCAATGCTTTTGATTTTTTTCAATGCTTTGTCCAAATAGTTACATCCTTACAAAATTTCAGCCCTACATAGTGATAATCATGGAAATCTTGATATGACTGAAAACAGAACCTTCAAACACAACTCAGAAAGTTCCTGAAGTAAACACCAGTTTCACATAAAGAATGCCAAAACCTCTCTCTTAAGCCTTGAACTATACAGGGGAAAGATAATGGAGTCTTTATCCATTTATCCTCTTTTACACATTCCAGAAAACACACAAGCCTATCTACACATAGATCATTTAACAAAGATGACATAGGGTTAAATTTTAAAAAGCACCATAATAGGTTTTCAAGTTTCATTGGACACATGGATCTTAATTAGTAAGGTCCCCTAGATGAAATATTCATTAAAGCCATCTGCATGTGTATTTAGTAGCACACTTCAAGGTCCTGTTCAAATGTTTATATCTTGTTAGCTCAGCACTCTTGGATGTCCTGCTCTGAATATTTCACCCGGTTGTGATTTTAATGTTGTAGTTCAGCAATCAAATGGTGCACACTTAATTTAAAAACAACCATAAATACTTACGGTGTTACTGTGACTAAGAGACAAGATACTTCCTACCTTCTCTATGTGCTCAACTGCTCAAGCATGGCAAAGCATGCAAATTACAACCTAATTTCATCTTTCAATAAAACCAAAAAAACCTCCTTTTATCTCACAAACTGTATGGGGAAGGTTAAAAATCTGTAAGTAAAATAGAGACAATCTAAAGCAGGGGTAGGGGGGTGGATGTCACTGTCTTGATAATCGCATCATTTATAGGAAGGTGGATTGGTGTTGTCTTTTGAAAGCTCACTCATGATTTTTGAATCTCTGTGGCTAGTAATTCTGGTACACGCCTACACTCTTCTGATTTTTATAAGATTACAGTTGTGCCAGCATACACTTCTAAGCACTCTGCTATGTCATTACGCATCACCATCACCTGGGATTCAAGCCTCAATGAGCGAAGTCAGGGAGTCTTTGACTACCCTGCATCCACAATTAGGAAGGAAATTCTTACATCTGTATCAAAACAGGAGAATCAAGTTCTTAAAAAAGTAGGAACTGCAATGTCTTGTTCGTACAGCCACGGGAACGGCTGAAAATGAGCACAGGAGGCATCTAAATTGCTTTGTTTTGAGAAGGGGAAAGAAATATACTCACTGTCATTTTGACTTGCTTTCAAAGTTATCACAGCCCTAAAGACTGAACTTTGCCATTTATGCAGGAAACAGTAAAACTAACACAGCAGAAGTAAAACTTTCCCATGTTTTTCCATCAGTGCACCTTTAATGTGTTGCACTGAAGTCACCAGAAGACCTGAGAAAAGTCATTTCCATCACTGTATTTTTCACTTTGCTACTGAGACTATCCCCACCAGAGTCAATTGCAATGGACATTATAGTGAAGAGAAAAGCCATCCACAGGAACAGCTGGAGCACAGCTGTCTCGCTCATCATCGGTAGTCATCAGCCATGACAAACATCTCCTCATTCCAGCTGGAATGTGAAAGACAGCCTGGATGTAACACACTCCACAACTCAACTACAGTTGTACTGTGAACAGCTTGAAAAACCAAAAGCTCAGGAAGTAAAGAAAAAGAAACAAAGATCTCCTTTCAGGGACAAGTTCCACACAAAGCAAAATCCAGTTATTACCAACCAAATTCCAGAACATAAGCTTTTTGTCATTAATCCTTAGTTTGACAAAGTTTTTTAGTTTTTATAAAGATTTTGATTTTTTAAATTTGCATCACTAGAATAATATTTATTTACATATTTAAAGCTCACTATTCTAGTCAATAAAAACTTGCACTAGAAACACAGTGAGCCACTTGAAGATAAGAACTAGCATTTAATTGTGTTAAAACTGCAGCTATAAAAAGGTTGATTTTCTGGATCGCATCCAACCTCACATGGCAGCAGAACAAAGGGTCATTTAGAAAAGCTGTTTTTTCCCCCAAGGTAGGAAAAACCTTGGCTGAAGTCACATAGGCATAAGTATTATTTATCACTTTTACTCTCCTTCTCTAATAAGGAATGTGCTAGCAGGCAGGCAGTGCTGCAGCTGGAACACACTACTCAACAGGCAATCCTCATCCTGTGAAACACCGCTATCCAGTTCTCAACAACCAGCATATATAAGTCCTGAGACTGCTCTAACTTAAACCAAAAATAGCTGAATGATTAGATTTCTGCACAAATGGCACTGCTCAATTCCTTTCCAAGGCCAAATTGAGTGGTTGTTTTACCATTCATCTCTGGAAGACACTGTCAGCTGACAATAGGGCAGTGGCTTGGGTGGTCAAAGCAATACTCCAGATTCTCTATCAGACAGCTGTCCTTTTCTCCCGGTTTCACTATCGGTATCATGATTTTCAGTACTGTTTTCCTTCAGAACTATGTTCATATTTGATGACATTTCATGTAACTGTTTAACACATGCTTTTTAGCTGCAAGCAGTTATCACACATTGACATCTTGACATCTATGACACATTCATCTTAAAAAGTGACGAATAAGAAGAAATCAAGTATAACATTAAGGTTGACCACTGGTGCATTAATTCACAATTAGCAGCTTCATTTTGGTTTATCTTGCCTCCATGGACAGCCTCTGATAATTCTGCCATCTTTGATTTTGCTTTCTTAAACAAGCCAAGGAAAGAACTAAAAAAAGGGTTGAAAACTTGACCCTTTGTGTAGGGAGCCTGCTTTGCCATAATCATGAAGAAATCCCAGGTTTGCACTACAGTGGCAATCCAGGCTGAGTTTAGTCTTGTCAAACCTTAAAAACTTTTAGACTAATAACAGCTAGAAACAGGCTCAACCCATTAAATCAGAAACTTGTCAAGAGTCTGTTGAGACACTGATTGATCTAACCAGCTATTAGAGCTCTCCCACAGTATAAGGCCATTCTGTTACTAAGTGCCTTTTTAGTCTTA